AAAAAAATGAATGAACAAAAAAAAGAAAAAACATATACTTACTTGTTTTGCCCTCTTCCACTAGCACGTAGACCGGTTGTCACCGCGTACATCGATCTGTCGTAGTCCGTACATTCCACCTTGTGAGTTGCGGCTGTTTGCTCCAACTGCAAAAATGCGACATAGTGCTCCCTAGCAATGGGACTCCTGCATCTGCTGGACTTGTTTTGTTTTTGTCGAAACAAATCCAGAGATTTTTGAAATGTGGCCTCTACCAAAGCTCTGCACGGCAGGAACCTAACCCCTTTCAGGACATTGTTGTACATCTCCGACATATTCGTTGTCAAAGTGCCCCATCTACGTTTTTCATCTCGATACAGGGTCCACTAGTTCAAAGGAATTTTGAAAAGATAATTGTATGCATCGGGATTAAATTCTTGAAGTCCCTCTTTTGTCTGTCGAAACTTTTGCTTCGACAACTGCGAACCCAACTCCCAACACCAATCTCGTATTTTCTTACTCCTGAACCGAGTCACCACGTTGCTTCGAAGGTGTCGAAGGCAAATCCGATGATACGCAGTGGGTTCTTGCCAATCCGATAATGATTTAATTGCACTGCGTAGGCCCACATCCCTGTCAGAAAGAACGCATATCTGTTTTTCGAATCATATCGTCGCAGATTCCTAAGGAAAAATGACCAACTGTCCGTGCTTTCTTCGTCGACAAGCGCATACGCGATTGGAAATAGCCGCTTATTCGCAGTCTGTGCTACGGCCACGAGCAATTTTCCTTTGTAATGTCCACGTAAATGTGTGCCATCGACGCTAATAACCGGCAGGCACATTTCGAAGGTTTTAATCGCGGAACCAAACGCCTAGAACACAAATTTGAATTCTCTGTCTGGAACGTGTCGCGCCACATCACCACCCTGAAATTCCCAATCTACAGCTGTGTTGGGATTCGCTCTTTGAAGCGCGATAAAATATCTGTACAATACAAAACAATTTCATAAATAAATAAACATAGTGACAGAAAAAAAACACGCATAATTGTAATTAATTTTTGCTTACTGAGGGAGTTCTGCAAAGTTCGACTCCCAACTGCCGTACACACACTCAATTGCTTTTTTCCTGCCGTGCCATGCCTTCTTGTAATTGACGTCGACTTTCCAACAATACTTCACATTAGCCTGGACCATGTTAACGTTGTACTCCACTTTCTTCTGAATCTTATTAATTATAAGATTCGCAATCATATGGGCGGTCACGTTTCTGTGGTCATTTCTGTCGACCTGTTGCATGCAAGTGTGTTGGTCAGTCCATTCAGTTACTTCCCACAAATCATCACGCCCTCTGGACTTATTCACCCGAGCCTTCCACAGACAAAGCACATCTACATTCGATTTGCAGACCAGTTTGAATGACTTCTGATTTGAATCTTTTGTTCGAACCTCCCGCAACCTATCGACATTCCAAGCCATTAGACCCGTTTAGGCTTCTTCCTTGCTCCGAAAAACTGTACCCAAACAGATGGTCTCAATGTCGCCATTCCACCGTGGAATAGCATACTCGTTCGCATCTATCCTGGACGGGTCCCATTCACCCATCTCGCGGTATATGTGTCGACCACCAATAGGAAATGGGTGTTCTTCTTCGATGAACTCGGGTTCACTCTCCTTATTTACCGATCTATCTGATTCGGTTTATGAGGTCTCGTCTGTGAAATCATCTTCACCGGGAATAAAATCTTCATCGTCCTCATCCGCCGCCCATTCTCTCGATGTCCCTTCTCCAAAATTAGGTAGATGAGAAGTCGATGTACCCTCGACATCAAACACTCCCCCGTAACAAGGAGTAACATCCTCAAACTGTGTAACAGGTGTATTTGCCTGCAACGATAAATGCAAATACATGGACATACTAGGAAAGTAATAAATCCATTCAAAACTATCGTTATTGAGTATTGCGGGATTCCACGAACCATCAGGTTGGCTAATCATCATAGTATTCTCCTGAATTGTCCAACCTTCTTCAAACTGACATTTTGCATTAATCATCTGTACCAACTGTTCATATGATATCCTCCCCGGAATTATAAATGAACCACTCGGACGATCTTTAAATGAAACAAAATCGCTTAACATTTCCTTCCCAAAATGTCAGTACAAATTAACAAGGTATGGACCGGGATAGGCCATTCTATACCTGTTGCAAATAAACACTTTCAATTTTTTTTCTAAAAAAACTCAAATTTTTACTCTCCAACAAAAAATAAAATAAAATAAAAAAAATAGCCCGAATCAAATAATCCTCCAAAACCATTAAACTCATAATCCAACAATAACATAAAATTCATCTATAATTCGGATAAATTGAAAGCCCTAATTCTAACCCTAATTTCGAAAAACCCTAACCCCAACAACAACCAAACAATACACAATTGACAATTTACACACAAAATTTCAATCCTCAATTCAACATACACACATAATCGATAATCAGTTAGCAATTTTCAATCTTCAAATATCACCACATTCAAACATATTATACCAATTCCCAATCTCCAAAAAACTTTAAATAATGTAAAAAGTAAAGATAAGACAATATACTTCATGCGAATGAATTAACCGGAAATGAGACTCGTGCCAGTGTTGTCAGTTCACGCCGGGATGAAGATTGGATCGAGTTTTTTTTTTTCACGAACAAAAATTGCTCTTCTTGCTTCTTTTTTTTTTTACTTTCTGTTCGTGGGTTCTGTGTGCGTGAATGAAATGGAGAGGAAGAGAGTTTTTTATATTAAACGTAAAAAACGTATTTTCAGAATACGTTTACCGACAATTTAATTGTAAAACGTATTCTGAGAATACGTTTTAATAAAATATTATTTTTTTTTCAGATATTTTTTTTTATTGAAAACGTATTTTCAAAATACGTTTTGTAAGAAACGTATTTTGAAACTACGTTTTAGAAAAATACATTTTAAATATTATTTGCCTATTTTTTTTATTAAAACATTTTTTTAAAAAATACATTTTACTTTTTTTTTTTATAAAACGTATTCTCGGAATACATTTTCTTAATTAATTTTTTTTTTTAAGAAAACGTATTCTGAGAATACGACTGTTTTATTTTGGTCGACTCTTTTTTTTATGTCTAGTTAATTTTTTTTTTAAAATAAATAAACTACCCTACTAAACATATTCTCAAAACTCAAAATAAACAAATCCATGAGTTCAATGAAGAAGAAAAAGAGAAAAGAAAGAAGAACTATTGTAGCCGTTAGTTATCGGATTTTCAATCTTGCCTTCCTCGAATCCCTCGTGTGTTTCGTGCTTTCTCTAGGCCTCCAATGTTGTCAAAAGTCCCAAAACCGTGTTCTCCATGTTCCTTATATACCGTAGGGCAAATATGGGTCGAAAAAGGGAAGAAATCGCGTAGGAATCCTATTTCCCGCTGGTCACTGCGCGTCACACGAATCGTGTCACATGCCACACGAGTCGTGTGACTTTCCTCGATTTTTTGGCCATCTTCCAAATTCACACGACCGGGTCACATGAGTCGTGTGCGGTCACACGACCGTGTCACTTGACACACGAGTCGTGTGAAAAAGCCGTAGCGAAATTCTTTAAATTTTGCATTCTTTTCCGCCCACACGCTCGTGTCACCTACTCACACGAGTCGTGTGCCTCATCTGCACCTCGATTTTGTCGTTTTTTGTCCGATTTTCCAGCACCTTTCTGGGCATATTTCCTGCAAAACCAACGACAAATACACCTCTATCATAGATTAATAAATAAAACAAAATGGTGCACAATTCCTACGATACACACGGCTAAATATGACAATCTATCACTCATAATGCATGAAAATATGATGAATGTCAACTCCCCCAAACTTAAACCCTTGTTCGTCCCCGAACAAGAATAAGAATCAAACCTCAAGCATAATGAGTGATACCAAAGTAGAACAACTTCAAGTTCTTCAATGCAACCAAGAAAAATTCAAACGATCATAACTATTATGCTTTTGACTACTATCTTGTGTCTACCTTAAATCAACGAACCCTCAAATAGGAATAATATAAGTGTCTCACTCACATGTCATCAATAAAAGTAAAGGATACACTCAAGTCAAGTTAAACACCCTGCTAACTATATGTTTGCCAATGATCTAACACCCTACTTTAAACACAATGAGTAATCACGAGCTTTAAATCTAAAGGTCTTCTCGGGTTGTAACGTAGGCTATTTGGTCAAAGGTAAGATATATATATATGGGTTAAGTGGCTCATATAAACAATCATATCATTCGAGTAAATAGACTACTCGACTACTCCGCTACTCCTCCCTAATTAACACAAAGCGTTCCTCATCCCCAAACTAAAATAATCCACGCACAACTCATAATTGCTCAAACTAAACTGCAAACGAAGTACTTGACCATTTTTTTTCCTGTCTTTCTTTTTTTTATTCATTTTTTTAGAGGGTTCAATTTTTTTCTAAAAAAGAACAAACCGTAAGGACAAAATTCTCTAGATATAAACATTAGAGGTCATCCAAGTATTCTAGAGTAGTTTCCCATACTCATTACCAGTCAAAATAAATCAACTAGTAAGAGGAGTAGAATCCCGACAGTTTGAATTGCGAGCTCCCTTTATTATCATTTTTGTTCTTTTTCTTTTTTTTTTATCCTTTTTTTTCCGGTCAAGCACCTTAAATGCAACTCAACTACACCGCATTCCATATCCAATCATTCAATAAATAACCCCGTTATCTCCATCCATCCCAAACAATAGTCAACTCTCAAAATAAATATAATAATCTGGTTGACAAGAAAAAAGTTGAAGGCTCAAACGGGCTACTAGTGAAAAATATTTTTAAGGACAAAGAACAAGATCAAACGAGCTAATTCAAAAACCGCCTAAATCATTTTTAAATCTCATGATCACCAATGCATTTTGATGTAGGATATTATACCCACAAGGATAAATCGACCTACTGAACCGGTCGAGGAGGTCATAACGTGAAGAAACCAAGCCGAGTGGCGGAAAAGTCAACCAGTTGACCAGCTGAGCAGTCGACCAATCTACCATTCGACCAGGTGAACGGTCGAGCATTTCAGTCGACCTCAACCGGTCGACCACTTCGCAGACTTAACGCTTTATGGATCGACCTAGTCACAGGCGCGTGTAAGAGCCTCTAACAGAATTTCAGAAGAATATTCACTCCATGTGCAGAGGGACATGTGTCGAGAACACATTGGTTGATAGCGACAAGCACCTCTGACAGCTCCCAACGTCCCGCGCCACCTCTAACATGCGCGCGATGTGTCAGAGTATAGACGGGCAGCTTGGGCAGCCAGCTCACCTAATCCGAGCAGCCTTAGGTCAGGTATCTCACTACTATATAAAGGGGTGAGCCTTTCTTCCTTGACACAATTTTTCCACTATTCAACTCCAGTATACTCATACACATACTGACTTAAGCATCAGGGGCTCTTCACCGAACACAACCCCGGTGTGATAGTTATTTGCAGGTTTCCGGTGTTCTACCGGCAAAGGCGAGGTTCGATCCATCCTACACCGGGCAAGGACGCTCACACATGCATTACATTTTTTTCAAGTAAGAATCAAGGCAAATTCTAATAACTCGGGCATTCAATTGACACACTCAAACTAGGAATGGCTCAAGTCTCACTAGGCTCAATGCATCGTTAATTCAAGGCTCACAAGCATTTTCATCTAGACATGACAAATTACAAACCTTATCACATTTTCTCAATCACATAAAATTACAATCCACCATTCAAGTTATACATACCATCATCAACAAAAAGCACAAAATACACAAGAAATAGACTCAAAATAAACCTACTCCTAGAAAGCAAATAAACGTGCTCTACTCAAATAAACACATAAAAGTAAAATAAACTAATGCAACCTACATGCAATGCAAGATAACTGAGATAAGAACCTAAGATATGCCGCACCCCTCCCCCAAAATTATTCTTTCGAGAAAGAACAAATTTGAATGAAAAAGTGGTATATCTTATGAGACTAAATTCCTGTAATCACGGCTGAGGAGGGGGAAAATTCCCCTCGTGTCTCTGCATCCAGTCAAACAGCCGCTGGAAGCCGCTCGTCATCCTCTCCTCTAGCCTGGCCCTAGACGCACGATTCTCATCCCTCAGACCCCGTACGTCTGTCCTCAGCTCGTGCATCTCCTGCTCGAGCATCATCATCCTTTCCTCTATGTCTGGCTCGCGACGCCGACGTCTCTGTCTTTGCCTCGGCTAAGCTGCTCGGGAGGACTCCGGTCCGTCCTCGTGTGGGGCCGGCTGCTCGGGTATCGAGCCATCACCCTCGTACATCACAAGGGTACCTGCATCCTCGCCCTCAAAATCGACTATGTCGTCTTCCTCCTCATTCTCAGCTGCTCGGTCAGCCGCATTCAGCCGTGGGG